GTATTGAAGCAGAAGCTTTTTAAATTAAGCATTGGCCAACAAGGAAAAAGGGTAAGAGCTGGCCTCGGTGAATATTGGCCTCGGGATATTTCCCTTGGGGCAGAGCTGACCCCCAGTGTGAGAGACTAATTCTTCAGGCAATTAGATGCAGGCTTGTCTTGACCCTTCTGTGTAAGAAAATATGTGTTTTCATATTTGCATGAATTGCCCCTCTGCTTTTATCACATAACTGATGTGCTACGTTGCTCCCTGGTAAATGCCCCTTTCCTTTGGGGATGGAAGGGCACTGAGGTGCCAGGGGTCATTTCCTCAGGACAGGCTGCTGCTTGCAGCCCCATGTCCAGGTTCCCTGAATGCAGCACTGCTGCAAGGTGATTTCTGTAGTGAATAAACACTTCCTGCACCATTTTTGTGTGTTTTATCTGAACATCTGTTGAAAGTCATCAGGACTGGCTTTTCAGTTGTCACAGCTGCCAGCAGGCAAATCAGATGAAAGGTGGAAGCTTCCTGGGCACTTTGATGTCTGCAGCACTTGTGTGTTCTGCTTCTGTGGAGATATTGAGATCTGGTTGAAAACCTTTGCTTTCATAAACAATTTTTGTCTCCGATGTGAATTTCAGATTTAGTTTTTCATCTGCAGTGTGCTTTATGTAAACATTACAGATCTGAAGGTACCCAGACTCAAGACAGGTCTGGTTATAGCTATTCTTGACTCATACTCAGAGACTCAGAGCTCAGAACAAAATAATTTTATTTTCCAGTTTTTCCAATATACCTGGCTTATCTAACTCATATCTTGTTACAAAAACAAACAAACAAACAAAAAAAAAACCTAGTTGCATAACAATTACCTACAATACTTGGACTGAAAAGGTAGCATGTGGGAAAACTATTGGTCACAAGAATGCTTTAGAGCCTGTTCAGGTGTTTCCCTCTAAAGAATTAGCTTCTATTCATTCAGGTTCATTTATGGGGTTTTTTTTACCTCTGTTGTTTTGGTTTATTTTGTTTAAAGACAATTGTTTTGTGCATATTGATAAGGTGCTCTTTGAGAATACCATCTGATTATCATCTTCCAGGATGCATTTTTAAATATGTGGCTTTGCAAAGCTGCAGTTATCCTTTATGTGTGTTCTAAAAGCAGTAGAGCAAAGGAAGTGGTGTCCAGGTAACTCATCTCTTCAAATGCTTCCAAGTGCTTTCAAAATGTGTGTGAAGTGAGACTTCAAAAGGAAAATAAAGAAGCAGTCTATTTTTAAAGCCTTGGACTGGATTTAGAGGACCCAGGCTGTAACTCCAGCTCTGTGGTAAGCTTTCTGCCTTACCTTTGGTAGGTGACTGGAACAGAGAGTTGGAAAATGGCCAGGTTGTGCTTTCATCAGGAAGGCTGGAGGTGTTGAAACTGGAGTGACAGTGCACAGTTCCCAGCAGGAATGCCATTTCTGGGGAGAATGAGCATGTGTGCTCCTACACATGCCTTATACACAAAGTTCCTGTGATTGGGAATTTGCTGAGAAGGTCCCAGGTGAAATTCTCTTGTGTTTGATTATGACAAAGATTTGAATCTCTTTTGGGGGTAGAACCTGTGTGTGGTCTTAGCTCTTTGGAGCAGGGATAACACTGATGGTTTTTTGCCTTCTCAAAGGATCTTGGGTTTGCTCTGCTGCAGCGTGGGAAGGATTTTGAGGTATCATACTTTTGTGGCAGGAAAAGTAATTTTTATGTTGAGCTTTGTGAATTGCTTAACATCTCAGAGATTCTTTCCCCAGTATGTATAATGAAGAGAAGATTATTTTGTTTTTTCAGTCACTGCCTGTGAACTTTTGAATTTCTGTGAACAGTTTGAACTTTAAGGTCTTTGGGTTAGATATTTCTTACTGATTATTGTCCTGTTACTGCATTATGGAGAATCAACATCTAGAAAAAAAAATTGTCCAGCTTTGTCCTCTCTCAGAAAAACCATTGTAGGGAATTGATGTTCAAGTGCTGAAACCATTTCCATCTCCAGCAGAGAGCAGTGATTGGTAATTCTACAGGAATATCTCAAGGTGTGCATTTTAAGCACTATATCTTGTGAGCCATGTGAATGTTACCAGAGCTGGGTAAAGTGTGGCTGCAGATGGTGCTCGAGCAGCAGAACTGCCAGCCTGCCGTGGGGCAGGTCCCTGCAGCCCTTGCATGTCCTGCACAGGGAATGGATGTGCTTGGCCAGAGTCCCCTGGCCAATGGTGCCAGAACAGGAAGGTGGATCCAGAGCCTTTGAGCTTGATTCTCATGTCCTCTCCTTCACATGGTGAAAAAGTTGTGTGAGAGACGGCACTGCACCACATACAGCTAAGATATTAGGAGGCAGTGGTTGCAGTAGAAGCCCCAGGGAGAACTTTGCCCTGGGGTTATCCTCCTTGAGCAGTTTCTCTTGGAAAACTTTGTTCTGTGAACAACTTAGAGATGGAACTTTGAACATGAGGAGTCTTAGAATAATTTTGGTTGGAAAAGACCTTGAAGATCAACTCCAGCTGTAAACCTAACACTGCCAAACCAGCCACTCAATCACATCTCTAATTGCCATATTTACATGTCTTTTAGTTGCCTCCAGGGATGGTGACTCAACCCCTTCCCTGGACAGCCTGTTGCAATGCTCAGCAACCCTTTCATTGGAGAAATGTTTTCCTCATATCCAATCTAAACCTCTCCAGGCACAACTTGAGGCCATTTCCTCAATCCACTGTTTCCAGTTGTCCTCAGTAACCATGTAAGCTTCCCTCAAATGATCATAGGTATAAGAATCTCTCCATCAAAAATTATTTCAGGCTTTATATGATAGGAGTCTAACCTTGTACAGGCTTGAAAGTATGTAAAAAGTAATTAAAATTTGGCTTCTTTAAACAGATAACAAAAAATATTAACAGATTTCTGTATATTATTTTTCTGGAGGAAGCTGGAACTCCCCTCTCTTTGGTCATAACTGCTGGGTACATAAACATTTTTTATCTGCTAATTACTGGTGAGCATTGCTAGATGATAACAGCCTAATCATTTGGTCATCACTAGTTTGTGTTTGTTTGTTTTTTTTTTAAATCAGCTTTTCTCATAGTAAATTGGTTACAAAATTTATGCTAGTGACCATGTTAAATATTAACAGTAGCACCAGAGAAAAATCAGCATTCATTTCCAGGGCTGAGTGTCCTTATCCAAAATGATCCTTGCAACTTTTCTGCCAAGACCTGTTTCTTCATGTGGCTGTGTAGATGAGGACAGGCTTTGAATGTGTTTCACATACTAGGACGTGCTGCTTTTTCAATTTGATTTTTTTGATCTTAAAAGCTTTCAGAGTTATGAAACGTTATGAGACTCCTAAGCTTCTCCAAGTAGGTATTATAACTTGAGTTTGTGTAAGTGCTCTTCAACAAGACAGGGAATGCACGTGTGTAGTTGTAGACCAGTGCATGGGCAGGGATTCATAAGCAACTGATCCATAGCTGGGAGTGTTTTGGAGGTGTAACCTTGAGACTGACTTGTATGCATGACAATAATTTTGCAGACTGACTGAATAGCTGTTAGTAAGACAAGATGAAAAATGTTTTTGCCCTGTCAGCTGACCTTCTGCAGATCGTGGCTGGTTTTCCACAGAGAGCTGCTAGCAAGGAGAATAGGCGATGCAATTTGTTGCTGTAATTTGCATATTTGTTCAAGAACATCTTCCCAGTGACCTCCTAATAGCTGAGCAATGTCAGGTGACAGCGCTTTTGCTGTTGTTGGTGTCTGCCAAGGTCTCGGGCTCGGATGTTCAGGAAATGGGAAGGGTAAAGCTGGGCTCCTCTTCAGGCAAAAGCAGTCAGTGGGGCTGTAGGAAAAAGCCTTCTCACCTGACTCAGCACCAGGGTGTTCATACATGTATCTTTCATCTCCTGGAGTGAGGCAGAGAGGATTAGGAGAGATGGGCAACAACCCAAGTGTTACCCAGGATCTGGGTCTGGCCTCCGTGAGAGGGAGAATCTTGTGGTTGTTCAAGCCAGAGCTTGTGAGACTTGCCTGGCACTGATGAGGTTTGGGTTTGGACTCTGCCACGGAGCTTACAAACCCAGGGGTCTTTACCTGTTTCCAGATGGATGGTCTGCAGTTTGAGATTTGCTGTAAGGATGACTGTCTGTTTAAGACCAGTATGTGATTTATTATTTATATTAAACATTTGTGCTCAATTTATCCCCTCATTTATATAAATAAATATCTTGTGGTATTGCATCATGCCAGCTGGATATTTGATAAATAATTTGCTGTCACCCAAATTCTGAAACATCCAGCTCAGCTGAATCAAAAGAAATTTTAATTTAAAAAATAATGCACCATGTGCTGACTAAAATCAAAATATTTCAAAGCCATGAACTAGCGGGTTAAATAAAAATTTGGGAAGGTAACATAATGTAAGTCCACCAGCTGCGCAGAATTTATTTGAGAACTAAATTTATATTGGGCTTTTGTTTGGAGTTAACTTAAAAGCACTGCTTTTATATACATAGGGACTGTAAACTAATGCTGGTATGTGGCCAAGACAAGTGTTCTGGAAAGTACACTCAGCTTTGGAAATAGTAGCAAGTGGAGCAGAAGCAGGGAGGCAGGAGCAAGTGAGAAACCACAATGTTTCCTTGAAATTCACTTCTTTCTCTTCTTCCCATGTAAAAATACAGGCTTATTATGGAATTAGGGTATTACTGTCCTGTACTAGAGACAGAACTTTTGGTATCTTTTTAGTAATTTAATGACAGACTAGATCTAGATAAGGTATGAATATCTATGCTCAGCTATTTCTGTATGGGAGGAATGAGTTTTACCAGATGTAAATAATGTTGAAGGTTTTTAAGTACTGCCTTATTTTCCAAACAACATCTTATCATATAAACATGGTTTCTGTCTTATTTTGTCATGGACATCCTTGCCAAACAGATCTCAAAAGCAGAACACAGGGAGATAATTCAATATCTGTCTTTCTCTCCCATGTCTAGATTATCAGCGGCTGATGACGGTGGCAGAGGGAATCACAACGCTGCTGTTCCCGTTTCAGTGGCAGCACGTGTACGTCCCCATCCTTCCTGCCTCTCTCCTGCATTTTCTGGATGCTCCTGTTCCCTACCTGATGGGGCTGCAGTCTAAGGAGGGAACCGACCGCTCCAAGCTGGAGCTGCCTCAGGAGGTCAGTGTCCACCTTTGGGGCTGCTGTCCTGAAATGTCTGACTAAGATATGTGTGAATTACTGCTGGGAAATGATGCCTGGTGCTAGGAGGCTTCTCTGGCACTGTGGATACTGATTGCCAGCAGCAGTGAGATAGTAGGGAAGTCTCCACAGCCCTTCTTGGTCCATTTCTGAATTTAATGAGTACCACTTACTGTTTTGATTTCTAAATATTTCTCTTTCTCCTGTTTGTGGTGACAAAGCTGAAATTTTGTCCGCTTTCCCTACAGCACATGCTCCACCAGGTTTTGTTACTCCATCAGTGTCACAGTGCTACTGACAGTGGGCTAAAGAGCATTTTGCTGGGGGAGGATCTCGATGGCTCTGGGTCTCAGGTGCAGTTGCTAGGTGGTGCAAACCTGTCCCCCTGCTGCTGGAGGAGCGTGCCGTGTCCTGCTAGCCCCATCCCATCCATGGCTGAGCCCATGTGTTCCTGGTCTCTTACTAGACCACTGTCTTGGACTCAGACAAGCCAGGCTTGCATTAATACTGGGCCTATGAACCACTTAGAGAGAAAAGGAAGGAGAGGTCATCCTCTTAACCTCAGGGTTAAATCCTTGGGTGTGGTAGAGAGTGAAATGGGGATTTTCCTCCTCAAAATTCGGCAAAAGGTGATTAAAGCTGCTTCACATATTAACCTGGCCATACAGCAAAGTCTTTGGGAAGTGGCTCACCTGTCTGCATTCCAGAGGGTGACTGGAACCAGAGCATGCCATATGCTTTTAAACTTAAGTTTCTTCTTAAAATCAGTGGGAACCCCAAAAGTACCTGTTCATACAGCAGTAACATCTCCTGCCAGTGGCTGTGCTGGGGGCACTCTCCTGGAGGCAGAGTCCTTAAGGATTCCAAATACCTTCTCTGACTGAGAAGGCAGATGGAAATAGCAGCAGAGGAGAATATACGGGAGTGAGAGTTTTTGTGTGGAAGTGGAGGGATAAACACAGGGCAGGGTAATACAGTTTTTAATAAAGGTCTATTTTACATACTGCATGAAGGTGGCTGATACAGCCTCAGTGGCATGGAACTGAAAATCAAGTTTTACCTCATGGATACAGTGACTGAAGCACATGAAATCTGCACTGGTGTGGAAGCAAGGCTGCTATCTAGCTATGCTCTTCAGTAAAACCATGCTAATATTACATAATTACTGTGATTTTTGAAATTATTAGTCACATGTTTTTGGTTAGCAGATTAAGCTGTCATTTTCCTTAAATTAAAATTTTAATGTGACAGTATTTAGTAGTGCAGTATCAGAATAACAAATATCACCAGGGAGAGAAAAGTAAGAGTAGGGTGGAATCTGCCCGCTCCATGATGTTTTGAATGAGTGAAAAATACCAGCATTTATGAATACCACAGGTCCAGTAACTGTGAGAGAGGGAAGGAAAAGACACATTGAACAGGGAAGATCTTGAATCTCAAATTGCTCTAGACAATAAAAAATAAAAAACCCCTCAGCATGCAAGCAGCGAGGAAACGCAGTTCACATCAGCATTCCTTTATTGTTCAGGCCAGGGGCTAGCTTTTCAAGCTCTTGCTCTAAATATAAACCATTTGTTTGTTAGAGATAAAAATTCTAACAACTGGCCATCATGCTGTCTTAAGGTTACTAATCTCCCTGCATTAACTTTAATCATCAGATGTTTTTGAAGAGAGAAGTGAGACCAATTCCCCAAGGGTTTTCTGAATATAAATCTCATTTTTCAAATTTTGTAAATGATATGCAGAGCTGAAATTAAAAAGCCTTTGAAATGAAATATTGATAGATAAGAAGGCAGTCCCTGAGCTAAAGAACTGTTCTGATGCATACCACAACTGTGTAATAGCTACATAGTTAAATAAAGCAAAATGCATTTCTTTGTACGGGCTACATTTAATATGAAAAAGCTGAAGGGACACTTATCCTTTACTAGATGAATCCTAATATGCTTTAAAGTATCTATGTGAAAGGTGATTAATGTTAATAAACATGTCCCTGAAATATCCAATATATTACAAACATATTTGCTGTGGAATGTGTTGTCTAGCTGAATATTAACTTCTCAAAAATGAAGGAAAATAAATAATTTGTCTTCATATAACCTGAAGATCAGTCTAGGGTGTTTGATAAGAAGTAAAGAACACCAAAAGTGCCTAGAAGAAGGTAGAGAAGCTGTGCTAATGGCCAAATCAGCCTAACAAAGACCTGCTGCTGTCCTGTGGATTTTCTGCATCTCCTGTTCTGCAGTTTTATGCCAGGATAAAACACATCAGAGCTCAGCACCTTGGGAATCTGACCTGGTTTAAGATTTTACTCAGCACAGTGCACTCAGACACTGAATTTCAGATGTAAGCCACCATTCAGAAGATCAATTACTGTTTTTCATTCTGCTATTATTTCTGAGGGTGCATTTGCAATGTAATTAATTTTTATGTGGAGTTCTTCTATCCCTCCATGGACACTTACCTAGTAAAAGTATCTGCTCTGCTAGATTAATGTCTACACTTTAATCTTACAGGCTGAGACCCATCTCCATTCATAGCAAAGCGAAGAGCACTCTCTTTAAATCTCAGGCAGAGGAATTGCCACTATTAAAAGCCTCCATGGAAACAGGGGGTCAGGGGAGTGGGAAGACTAGACTTGGCCTCTAGTGAACAAGCTGTACTCAGACATAACCCCAAAGGATTTCTGTGGGACCCTCTTTTGTAGTTTTGCTTGAAGCAGCATCATCTTTCTCACTGAACATCTCATTCCCTGGTAGCACAGATGCAGAGGCTTCTTGCAGTTGGATCCTGGTAAAATAAATGTGCCTGTGAGATGCAGTAATTCACGCAAAGGGTATTTGCTTGGGCTGAGAAGTGGTGCTGCACTTCCTGCTTGGTGGTGTGTCCTTGGCTGCTCCGGGAGGGTATATGAAATCTTTGTAGTGGAAAGTTTGGGGTCTGCATACCCTGGGGAAACAGGAGAATGCTGGAGCCTTTATTTGTCATCCAGTTGACCCTCAGCTTTACTGAAGTCTGAAATGTCACAGGCTAGATAGCACAGCTAAAGTGTCCTGTGTATGTGTGCACTTACCCTTCTGTCTGGAAGCACCCTGGGTGAAAGGGCTACATCACAGGGAAACCAGTTCAGTGCTGAGTGTCCATTTTAAAACTTTTGTTTGTATTTCAGGCAAACTTGTGCTTTGTAGACATCGATAACCATTTCATCGAACTGCCGGAGGAATTCCCGCAGTTCCCCAACAAGCTGGAGTTTATCCAGGAAATCTCTGAGGTTCTCCTGCAGTTTGGGATCCCTCCAGAAGGCAACCTGCATTGCAGTGACAGTGCCACCAAACTCAAGAACTTGGTTCTTAGCGACCTGGTGAACGACAAGAAGAATGGGAACATCCCCAGCAATGCCCTCAACATGTACGAGCTGCTGAAAGGCAACGAGACGATCGCCCGCCTGCAAGCCCTGGCCAAGAGAACAGGGGTGACCATGGAGAAAATGACCATCACCACCCCCCTCACAGACGAGAAGGATGGGAAGTTGTCGTGTGAGGAGCTGGAGCTGAGGGACTACAAACTGAACGTGCAGCTCCGCGAGGTTTTCGCCAACCGCTTCACGCAGATGTTCGCGGACTACGAGGCTTTCGTCATCCAGGCTTCCCCCGACATGGAGTCGTGGCTGACAAACAGGGAACAAATGCAAAACTTTGACAAAGTAAAGATAGCCATGTATTCGTGTCTCCATCTAAAAGGGGGAGGGAGGATAGCTGTGTTTGTGTATATATAGCCTGGGTTCTCTTTAATCTGCCGTTCCTCATCTGCCTCGCTGCGAGATTTGTCCATTTCCATTACACAGGGCCAGATCTCCTGCCAGAGTGAATTGGAGCACATCCACTGAGCTGCTCAGAGCCATCCTGGCTTGTACAAACCAAGCTGGCAGGCTTCTGCCCAGCTCGTGGGGCTGCTCCTGTGGGCTTGGTGGAAGGGTAGCAATGCAGAGTGACTCCTTTTTCTGTCTTTCTTATTTTTCATTGTTGGGAGGAGAGGTGCACATTTGAGATAAAAAACCAAATCTAATCTTTAATTTTTCCTAACCTCATGGTAGAGGTTTTGGTAATGGGTAATGTTCTGAAGAAGGTTGTCACTTAAACAGTGTTGTTATGACTCCATTGTTGTGTATGCACAAGAGGGAAAAGGAATCCCTTGAGATTAGAAATGGAGCTATAAAGAGATGGTAGGATACCAAAATGAATGGGAAATGCTGGGAAACTTGCACAGCTGCTGAGTGACCCTGCAAAGCAGATAGTGTTCTTAGCCATCATCTTTTTTAGGTCCAAGTCCTTCTCTAAGGAAAAGGTTAAGAGGATGAACAGTGAGGAGCAGACTAAATACTGATCTGAGTCAGTTTTTGATTTTAAAAAATTCCTGCCATGCCTCTTATTGGTTTGTTTGTTTTCAGGCATTAAACAGAGCAGCGTTGAAAAGGATGGGGTTGTTTAGGCAGTCTCTGCTAGTGCTTCTGCAATAAAATGGGCTGTTAAGTTTAGGGTTTCAAAGCTCAGTTAGAGATTTAGACACACAGTCAATTTTAATTGGAAATTTGTGATTAATTGCCCTGTGTAACATTGCTGAAGAGCATCAGCTGAAGAGCACTGTGCACCCCTTGATATGTGTGACACCTTAAGTGATATGGTCCCAGGCAACAATGCCCAGACCAGAGGTCCCACAGGGGCACATGTGATCTGCCATGCATTTCACAGGGGTCATTCCTGGGGGTGAGAGCTGCTAGATTGCTTTGAAAAAGCAGGCAGCACGAGCACTACTTCAGTAACTCGATATCCCTTTGTTCCAGCTGTTACAAAGCCTCCCTGACTGCTTATTTCTTACAGTTGTGAACCAAACCCCTTTGTAGATGGATTCACAGCTCTCTGAGAGGGGTTTCTGCAGTGGGGGAAGCCTTGTCCAAGCCTTCCTGCTGATTCTCTGCTGAAGGATGGCTGGACACACCAGTGCTAGGCATGAACGTGGCACTAATGAGCTGTTCTGTATTTCAGGCTTCCTTCCTTTCGGACCAACCCGAGCCTTACCTGCCATTCCTTTCACACTTCATCGAAACACAGATGTTTGCAACCTTCATAGACAATAAGATAATGTCCCAGTGGGAAGAGAAGGACCCTTTTCTACGAGTTTTTGACTCCCGAATTGAGAAAATAAGGCTATATAATGTCAGGGCCCCTGCACTGCGGACATCCAACTACCAGAAATGCAGCACTTTGAAAGAAGCAGGTACGTTCAGACAGGCTGGTAAAACATTCAAAAGTACAATGTCAGCCACCAATAAATATGGTCCTCAGTCATCTGAGTGTTGCAATTGATGAAGTCCTGGCGCTATCTGAGGAGGACTCAGCAGTGTCCTTATCTATCTCAGCAGCAACTTTAGCATGCTGTTAAACACCAGAAATGGCAGGAGCCTTTACCTTCTCTTGGAGCTCTCCTGGGCTGGCGCCTTTAATAAAATCAAGCCAAACCCAAATGGAACTGGCGCACAGTTGCTCATTTCAGGCAGCTCCTGTTCCTTTGCCAGGAGAGCTTTCCTTCACCCTGGTGGTGGGACCAGTGCCAGCCACACTGAGTTGTCGAGCCCCGGTGTCTGCTCCACTGGCCTTGTCTCCCCCTTCCCATAAAAAGACGTGGTTTTGCCTTACATCATTTGGTTAGAGCAGCAGGGGATGCTGGACAGGGATGTAATCCTGTGTGGCATATTTAGTACCTCCAGCAGTAGATGTTCAGCATTAATGTACACTGTACTGAAGGATTGGAAGTTTTTTCTGTTGCTGTCATGGGATGCCTTTCCAAATTATATTTTAATTTCTTACTTAATGCTTGTGCAAGTATTTATTTAATTTCTAAGTAATACAGGGAAATTATACTCTTAAATTTGTTGGGACACGTATTAGTAAGATAGGGCAAACATATTTCTTTTTTTTTTTTTTTTTTTTTTTTTTTATTTCTTTCTTTTT